CCCCAAAACCCCAAAACCCCAAAACCCCAAAACCCCAAAATTTAAGTTAAATTTTGATAAATTTAATTATTACCCAGAAACTTCCTCCTAAAAAATGGATATATTAGTAGTGTTCTTTAGTGAATTCCATGACGAAAAAGGGCCAATTTTGTACGCTATAACTAACCAATCTCTAGGCTGTACCAATACCCTGAAGGGGTGATTGACAAGAAGGAATACACCTTACTATCAGATTACATTATTCCCAAACCTGTAATGTGTGATAAAATCTTTAAAATGCGGAAGGACAATTATATCCTAATGGGTATGCCCATTGAAATCCTTAACAAGAAATACAAGCGGAAAGCTATAGAGTTCAACCTTGGTTTCTTCCTGACTGAGCAGGCAGGCTCTACTAAGTCAGAGAGACAGAAGGACATAGAAGTTTATTCAAAGATTTTAAAATAAAATCGGAGAGAAATTGACCGAACTCGAACTTGAAAGTGAGTTCATCTGGAACGAAACCAAGAAAGTCAAACTTGAAGGAGTAGTCAAAGGTAGAATTTTGATGTCAGTATAGATCTTTACAACCAACTCCAAAATAGCTACGACTGCTTTATCAAAATAGACGAGTTTAATTGCATTAATTTCAAGTTTGAGAAAATCAAAGAGACTTCTAAAAAGGATAGCGAGGAGAAATAAGTTCGAGAATATAGCCAAAGGGATCAGGAAGGACTCCCTCAATTCTACTGCAGATTCCAAGAGGAAAACTGTTGGTAAATTTTCGGCATTAATTTATTAGAGTATGCTTGCTAGATTAATCACTAGGTTTCACTTCTCAAATGTCTATAAATGTACGCCCAGGCTGCTAGAGTTCATCAAATCTCCTGAGAAACAGAGAGAGTGCTTCGAGTATATCACATATGGCAAGAAAGAGTTCGGACTCAAGAACGTTTTTGAGGCTGACCTTGATATAATAATTGATCCAACAGATAAAAACTCCTCTTTTATAGATAAGGATGAGGATTACTTCACTAGAGAAGAGAAGTCAGGAGATTTCTCAGAGGCGATGGAATATACCATAAATGTTGGACTTGAGCTGGTTCAACTATACACAAGGATTTGTAACTCACAACTCACTGTTGAAAATTTTATCCTGCACTATGTAAGCGAGTTGGTAAATCAAGAGAATATCAACTTGTTCATCGATTACGGTAAGACTTTGCTCAATTCCTATAGGAATTCAGAATGGCTATGTCAAGAAATGCAACCAATACACTAAACATAAATAAGTTATTGTGGAATTTACTAACAACTATTAGAAGATATAGCTCTTGATTGGTACTTTATGGCCTTCATAGCTACTTATCAGTCACCCATGGAGATATCTTTGCCTTCTCAGCCTCATCTCTATTTTAGAATCTTCTATTTTCTTGAGGAATCCTGGGGTTTTGGGGTTTTGGGGTTTTGGGGTTTTGGGG